CTACACAAAATTAGACCGATAGCATTAATGTGTGTGATCGATGTGACACACTGACATTGTAACACGCAACAACAATTACTAAACTAAAATATTACAAAAGGAATGTTGAGCCATTATTGAAAATGCTGCAAGCTGATTGGGATTCATAAATGACGGTTGCTCCATAATGTTCAAAACAGGAAGTTTAGTTGCTCAACAGTGATGCTGTAATAATTCATATTAAACATTTCCACAGCAGATGACGTTTCAGTTCCTGTGACAGAATAACACGTCTTCTAACTTCTTGACGTCTCCCCGGTGATTCCTGTTGAGAACCTGCCATAGGCTGAACTTGAGATGTGGAGGCTCTGAGGAATAACTGAAAGAAAAGGGGCAACAGTTTGCAGACTTTGTAAAATGATTGAACAGCATCACTTTACCTCGAATCTGCTCGTATCTTGTACAGCTGCTTGTCTCCAACTAATCTTTAACCACAGCTTTGTCATTCCTACAGTCGCAAGAAAGAGCAACACTTTAAGTTGTCTTCTTTTGGTGACATGTTTTATTTGCCATATTCAAGGGTTGCGTTTTGATGTAGTGCTTGTGTTTGCCACAAGAGGGCAGCAGGTTGCAGCTGAAAGCACAGCATTGAATGTCAAGGTGATGATTTTGACTGAAGCTAAGTCTGTTGTTGACAACCAGTTAAGATCATCATAGACGCTGAGGTTTTCTGACAGATACAGCTAAGGTGGCATTACAAGCCATGGATGAAGGGAACTTCTGGCAGTTTCATTCGATCCCCGGCATTTACAACTTGAGAAAATTATGTATGTTTATCGGAAAGATAGGCTGCTGTTTGTTCTATTTTCACCTCGTCAAGCCATGTTAATTATTACCTCACAAATGTCCTTTAACCATGCATTAAAGGGCCACATGATACAAAAGTCTCTGAACAGATAAGTGCACGGAGGAAGAGTGTGTTTGAATAAAATTAAAAAAATAAATAAAAAACAGTGCATAATGAATGCCAAGTTAATTAACAGTGTCACTATCTTTCATAGATGTTAATTAGGATAAATCCTGAATAATTTTCAAGTGTATAATTGCACAGATATGTTTACAATTTAGCCTAATTGCTAAATGTTTGAATCTGCATACTTGCATACTTGAAGAGCCGAAGTGAGCCGAGGGACTCTGACTGTTCAGCCACTGTAAAACTTTCTGTGACATTATCCAGCCAGCTTTTAATTCGGCCGGCTTGGCAGGTGAGAGCAATGATACCAAAGTCAAGTGGCATGAAATTGCTGCACTGATGGGTGCAGCGATTTGTCTCACTTCTTTTAAAGGGCACCGCAGCGCTGCCTGAGAGGGCTGGCAATAAAATGTAAAATTACTAAGACTAAACTAAAGATTTGGAGACTTAAAGAGACCGATGTTGCTACATCAGTTCTTAGTAATGCTTGGAGGGCTGGTCATTAAAACACAACCAAGAATTCACAGTAAAGCTAGCAGCAGTTCGAGGCTCTACGATACTCAGGTACAGGCTTAATAAACACGTTGCTTCCTGTATGTTCACTTGTCTTCCATGTGGACAGTCTATAGAGACTTATATACTAATATTTTACAGTTCAGCTGTCAAAAGATTTGACCTGATGATGTCACAAAAATGTGTAAATATGTGAAACAAAATTCAGTGATAATCCATTTTACAGGGTGATTCCAGACAAAACTTCAAATGTCAATGTCATGATGCTGCAAGAGGAAAAGTCAGGAGATTGTCATAGTCTTTAGGATGCATTATCTGAAAACCAGTAAGGATATTTAAGACACTGGACCACAGGACTATACAGTATATACAATGAGACAATA